AACCAAATACATCATGTTTTGACACTGGGCCTCATGGTTATTTAAGAGTTATAACTGGAAAAATAATACCTGTTTGGTTTTAAATTGTGTAAAGGGTTGTTGGCAAAACTTTCTAATACTGGAGGAAAATAGTTTCAAATTTCATTTGTATATAGGTATAGTTTATTTGACTTTGATTTCAGATTACGTCAAATGATTACCAACCTACACATACAGAGATGTACTCTGATAGGTGATCACTTAATGAAACCTTAATCATGATACAAGACCCTTAATACTGAAGAATACACGGTAAGAAATCTCTAAAAGATGTCTCAAAATTCTGACACATGACTGATAAAGTTATTCTTCATTTTGTAAAAGATTTCAAACAAAGCCATGTAAATCTTCACACTTCAGCCTTAAATGTCTCAAAATTCTGACACATGATCTATGAAGTTATTCTTGATTTTACAAAAGATTTCAAACAAAGCCCTGTAAATCTTCACACTTCAGCTTTAAATAATGAGCAGAGTATGAATACAGAATAAAGACAGTTGTTGACATGATAACTCCAATGAAGTGGTTATTCCACTACCAGAGTTATAACTGAGAACAGGTAAAATTGTTCAGACTAACTAAAGTGTCATTGCTAAGTCCACTAATTGGCTAGTATCTGGATGTCTTTGTAGTATTTGTGTACCACTACCCAACTACAAAATCAAAGTTAAGCAACATTTGAAGCAGATTCCAGGAACCAAGAATAATGATGTTTTAATACATAAAGACTACTTAGGAGTTTGTGGTACTGATTTGGGAATACCACTTTCTCAATTTTACTGAACATCAGTTCAAGAATAAGCACCTTCTAGCTTATTTCACTACTTTTCATGACATTATTTACCTATAAAATAAACAAAGTCACTTATCATTATGAACAGATTTCATCAACCTCACATGATTAACAAACATCCCTGATAACTATAATAATACCTGGAAATATGTTGTAAAACTTCTATACATCACATGATTGTTAAATCTTTCTGAAAATACAACCTGAAATTTTCTCATTCAAATCCTGAAATACTCATGTTATCCTTCAGCATATGTTGAAAGAATTTCATCATCAATTCATGTCTAAAAAGATAGAATTTCAATATGTAAAATAAAACTTCAGAATATTTTCATATTAAGATTTAGGGGACAGTTACCCGTTATTCTATAATTGTAAGTTAAATGGCGCATCTGGACATTACAGTCACAGTATCTGGAGAACAGATCACTAAAACTTGGAACAGTATCATTTCAATGTAGCTAATTGATGATAAATTAATCAATATTTATTTCATAAAATTAATTATTTCATATATGACTGTTGACCAGCAACATTGCACACAATAATAACATCAAGTAAAATATGTATTTAGACTCTAAACAAAAAACACACAAAAAATGAAATCCAAACACACCCATCCTTCCTCACACATTCTGTACAACTTTTTGTCAAGTATGTTTTCGCTAATTTAACCATTTTAATCCAATAGGATAGATTCAGTCTTCCAGATATACCACTCTACACATCATTTTCATCAATTTAGAAATAAAAATTTCATAGTTTCTAAATGATTGATTTAATAAGCTATATCAAACTCACCTAAATCTTTTCTTTAAAATTCATAAAATCTTTCAGGTAGTTATTTCTGACATGGTATGAACCAGGAGGTAACCAGTACAGACACAAGTTTGTTAAAAAATGCCATACACAACTACATTTGTATAACCAACAATATCGCTAGACAACAGGTGAAATATGTCGCCTAGAAAACAGTAAAATGTGATGTCTAGATGACAGGTGAAATGTGACATCTAGATGTAATTTGGAGATGATGTCATGGTCTAGGATGATAATGCTTCATGAAATATACACGATGATTTGTGGCAGCTAAATATGGCAGGGAGAACCAGCATTGTGTTAATCTGGCCGAAATATTGGGATCTTTGGTAGGAACTCAATCAGCAGCACCTGTAACACACAAAATATCATATACAAATACTATACAGTATGTCATTTACAAATATCATACAATAAGTCATCTACAAATACTATACAGTATGTCATATATAAATATCACACAAAATGACACATACAAATACTTGATAGTATGTCATATACAAATATCATACAATAAGTCATCTACAAATACTATACAGTATGTCATATACAAATATCACACAATAATCATATACAAATACTTACAGTATGTCATATACAAATATCACACAATAAGTCATATACAAATACTATACAGTATGTCATATACAAATATCATACAATAAGTCATATACAAATACTATACAGTATGTCATATACAAATATCACACAATAAGTCATATACAAATACTTGATAGTATGTCATATACAAATATCACACAATAAGTCATATACAAATACTATAAAATATGTCATTTACAAATATCACACAAAATGACACATACAAATACTATACAGTATGTCATATACAAATATCATACAATAAGTCATATACAAATACTATACAGTATGTCATTTACAAATATCACACAATAAGTCATATACAAATACTATACAGTATGTCATTTACAAATATCACACAATAAGTCATATACAAATACTATACGGTATGTCATTTACAAATATCACACAATAAGTCAAATACAAATACTATACAGTATGTCATATATCAATATACAATATATATCACAAACACCACATGATAGGTCATATACAAAATATACAAATAAAACATCTATCAATGTACATCCATTTCTCATCCCAATGGAGACCGTATCAATGAAATTGATTATAATCTTTACAAGAAACGTAGAAGTTAACATGTTTTGAAACATTCATAAAAACACATGTATGCATCAGTATTTCAAACGAATCATTTGTCACAATTAAATTCCTCCTAGTGTAGAGACAAATTTGATGATAAAGCAAAAAATGGTACAGAGCTTGTTCTTAACACTATTTTGCTTTTTATGACGATCAAAAGTCAAAACATATGTTACAGTGAAGTACTTCTGAACAAGTTCTGATAGGCAAAGTCAAAAATGGAGGTTGTACACTTGTCTTCTTAAGATTTACTCACACACTTAAGAATCCTCTATAAAACAGTACAGGAAATAAAATTGAATGTGCTCCAGAAATGACTAAGTAAACAGACAGATGTACTTAAACAAGGACAACATGAATTCTAGTAGTATATGTACGCATCCTAAAACTAGAATCTGGGTCTGGTTTGGATGTCATCTGTGTCCTTTTGTCTGTGGCTTGTTGGCTGTCTCAGTGAAAGGGTATGTTACTAGATCTTATCAGCAAAATAAAATAATACAAATAACCTCCTAGAACCTATCAACTTATATTGTAGAAAGTTTTTATGCAATTGAAATAAATTTCGGACAATTAGGACCACATAAACAAATTCTGTATGGGCAGATGTGTTGATGACCAAACCTTACTTCATTGTGAAGAGATTAAAACAGAATTGATCTTTAGAAGACTTACGTATTCCATCATACTACTGGAATCACAGCGTTGTTTACTGAGCCGCCAGTGAAGCCCCAGCTGAAAACAATATACAGATAATAGCGACAAATTCATTGATGACATGTTAAGTGTATAGGTATGTTGCAATGGTTAATTTTCTACTTACTGTACAGTTGTTTTATTACCCTGGACAAATACTTCATGTTTGTCCTCGGTTTTGTTTGTATGTATATTCATTGGTTTCCATTTTGATCTGTGATTTTGATTTGTTACAAATTGTGTGCTGGATATTTATTTTTCATCTTTCTTGAATGACCAAAAAATAGCAAATTTCATTCCTCAATATTATACCCTTTAATATAAGTATTTGCACGTTTTCTTTGAAAAACAACTGCTTTTCGACAGAATAAAGTTTTCCCAAACTAAGAATGTGAATAAAGATCTTAACACTAAGAAAAAACTTACTTTGTGATATAACCGTGTGTTTTCCCAGTCAAGAACTTTCTCTATTGCATGTCTTGTCTGAAAAAAAGGCAACAGACGAAAATATAACAATTACGATTTTTTTTCGTTAGTTATATGACATCATATTTGCTATTCAAATCTAAACACTTGTTAACAACACACATCTCAAAGTAATTATAACTAGAGCACCAGTGAAACTGAGGAATGTTCCCTAAAAAGGAGAATGCCACAGAAATGGACGTGTCGCCTCCCCAGCAAGGTTTCTGGAGATTTATGGAACAATAGTTGTAGATATTCATTGTATTTATTTCATCTATATAATTTGTCCATTTGTTTGAGATGTGATGTGTAAACTTGCTAATTAGATGGATAGTGTCGAAGGGAAATGAATCCACACAATAGATTAACCCTATTAATACAACATAATGTTTTTATTTCAATTTTAATTTTTTTAAAGATAGTTAAAGATGTTAATTTGCAATAATTTCCATGTCGTGTATATGTATCAATATTTGTCATGTGTAAATGTTAAAGCAAGGAAATAAATATCATTTGCAGTACATCATGTTATTGTTCAAAGAAAACTCAAGTAATCACACAAAACCAATTCTCTTTTTACAGCTACAATGACCTTGACCTCTGACCTATTGACCTCAAAAGCAATCTTACGCAAGTGCCTTTGGTAACGTTACTGTATGAAAAGCAAATTCTCTACTCAAAGTAGTAGTGACCTTGACCTTTGATCTTTAAATATGAAAAGCAATCCCCAGCAAGTCCCTTTGGGAAGGAAGCATTGCATGAAATTTCAGTGTAATTGTCTCAAGAAAACTCAAGCAATCGCATGAAAACTAATCTTCTCTACATTTTGTATATGGAAAGCCTGTCCTTGACCTTTGCTCTTCAAACTTCAAAAGCAATCATAAGGAAGCGCTTTTGGTTAGGAAGCACTGTAAGAAGTTTGATGTTGATCAGCCAACAGGAACTGAAGTTATCGTGAAAAAAACAATTTCCTATTTATGGTAACACTGACTCTTGTACTCTTTTCAGGCAACCTTTGGCCTTTGGACCTGTAAAGTTATATCAAGCAAGCACTTCTGATAAGGAAACACTGTATGAAGTTTGAGCTTAATCGGCAAAAGTGAACTAAGTTATCATGAATAAAACATTTGTGTGGACAACGGCACTGATGACAACACTATTGACATAGTAATACAAATAACATCAGTATAATCAGTGGTTTGAAGAAATAATCTGGAGCAACCTTGCCCAGAATTACATACCCTTTTACTGAGACAGACAACAGGCCACAGGGAACATCCCAGGGTACAGCAGCAACAAATACAGCCACAGAAGAGCCACTTGACATTGACTGGCAGGGCCTTCTTCAGCACACTGTTTAATCGTATCACTGTGGCCTTGTACTCTTCTGGAGCAACCTGTCACCAAATAGCATCATGGATGAGGATAAGGCAAACAAAACATGAGGTCCAAAGCTGATCTAACACATTGCACAATTTTTTTCAGTTCAACCTTTCTGATAACTTTTTTAACACTAAGAAATATCTATAACATATGATGTCTGATAAAAATTCAATCAATAATCACACTTGTATACCTTGCACTCACAAATTTAAAACTCCAAATCATTTTTAAGTATGTATATCTTAACTACAGAGAATATGAGATAAATTTGAAACTAACATTGGCACAAAATACGCATACACAATTGTAACATGTTGCAAAGCCTTAAAAATCAACAGACCATAGCAGTTATAACTTGTCCAGTGCCCATATAATAAGTGCTTTATGATTGAAATAAAATGTTACCTGGTAGTTTTCCTAGCATTTATCTTTATGACCCTTTCATTATGAGCAATGTAAATCTGACCTCGTTACTTTGCCATGTGATGACTTCTTATCTAATTGTGAAAAATTTTTGTTAAGACATGTACTTAAGTTTTCAACTTGGTCACCTTGACCTTCTGTTGTTATATTGATTGATTTTTGGCTTCTTATTCAATTCTGGACAATTGTGCTTTAATAAGAGCAATAAAATTGGATATAAAGTTAAGTGAGACCTTGACTTTTGACCTTGACATAAAAAGTTATGTGATTATACAGTTTTTCCTATTTTGTGACCATAATTACTACAGTTCATCAAAATCTGTGCTCTATATTGGTCGTACATGTACAGCAATGACAACACACTATAATATCAAAGACAGACAAAAACATAGTTCAATTACCTTTGCTGAAAGACTGGTGGGGAATTCTGTATCAAATCTGTTACTGAGACCAAATCTGAATATATAAATATAAATATATCATAAATAGATTTACTATATCCTGTTTGTTCTACATATACAAACCAATATAATAATGCTGAGTTATACATAATCACCTCATCCCATTCAACAGTCCTCTTGTAATATCTCCTTTGAATTTCTTTATTTGCAACTGAGTTTGACTAAAAAATAAGTCTTCTAAGTTATCCTTCGCAGAATGAAAATTGGGAAATGAATATTTAGTTATAAAGACGAATTATATGAACCTGGAATCTACACATACAATTGTAGTCATGAACTATAGAAAAACTGGAGCAAGGCAGCTGTATTGTTATCTAGGCTTGACTCAGTAAGGCTAAGACACTAAGAAGATTATAAATGTAAAATAGCAATAAAAGGATTTTTAAGACGGCTGGAAAGATGTTGACCATATAACAGATTCACTATCATTACATGTGTAATGGCTGGACAGTAATTACCATAACATCATTATGTACTGATCATATCTGGGTGGTCCTAACATCACTATGTACTGATCATATCTGGGTGGTCCTAACATCATTATGTACTGATCATATCTGGGTGGTCCTAACATCATTATGTACTGATCATATCTGGGTGGTCCTAACATCATCATGTACTGATCATATCTGGGTGGTCCTAACATTATTATGTACTGATCATATCTGGGTAGTCCTAACATCATTCTGTACTGATCATATCTGGGTGGTCCTAACATAATTATGTACTGATCATAAATGGGTAGTCCTAACATCATTATGTACTGATCATATCTGGGTGGTCCTAACATCATTATATACTGCCATATCTGGGTGGTCCTAACATCATTATATACTGATCATATCTGGGTGGTCCTAACATCATTATGTACTGATCATATCTGGGTGGTCCTAACATCATTATGTACTGATCATATCTGGGTGGTCCTAACATCATGTATTGATCATATCTGGGTAGTCCTAACATCATTATGTACTGATCATATCTGGGTGGTCCTATCATCATGCAGGGTTTTCCATAATTTTGTTAGTAGTAGGCTGTGTAGTGAAAGTAGGAGGCTGGGCTGGGCTGGGCTGGGCTGGCCTGCCGTGTATGTGTAGTCATGTATGGAACATTATTACGGAACTGGATTGGTGTAGGCGGCCAAATGAACAAAGTAGCCGGTCAAATTTGCTGGCGACCGGCTGTTATGGAAAACCCTGATAACAACAATCTCTCATATAGAACAGTTCAGAATACACATATATAACACAGGGTTTTCCATAATTTTGTTAGTAGTAGGCTGTGTAGTGAAAGTAGGAGGCTGGGCTGGGCTGGCCTGCCGTGTACGTGTAGTCATGTACGGAACATTATTACGGAACTGGATTGGTGTAGGCGGCCAAATGAACAAAGTAGCCGGTCAAACTGGCCAACGACCGCCTCTTATGGAAAAACCTGATCATGTACTGATCATATCTTGGTGGTCCTAACATCATGTATTGATCCTATCTGGGTGGTCCTAACATCATTATATACTGATCATATCTGGGTGGTCCTTGCATCATTATGTACTGATCATATCTGGGTGGTCCTAACATCATTATGTACTGATCATATCTAGGTAGTCCTAACAACATTATGTACTGTTCATATCTGGGTAGTCCTAACATAATTATGTACTGATCATAAATGGGTAGTCCTAACATCATTATGTACTGATCATATCTGGGTGGTCCTAACATCACTATGTACTGATCATATCTTGGTGGTCCTAACATCATTATGTACTGATCATATCTGGGTAGTCCTAACATCATTATATACTGATCATATCTGAGTAGTCCTAACATCACTATGTACTGATCATATCTGGGTGGTCCTAACATCACTATGTACTGATCATATTTGGTAGTCGTATTAGTAACCATTTCAAAAGTTTTCACTGAAATTTCACAGCTATCTTCAAACAACATGGGCCTAATTAATGTACACAGTCCTTGTCATGGTAAATGACAGAGTAGTGATATGTTAGGCGATAAGTCTTGTAAATGTGCAGCAGGCATAACACAAATAGATTGTGCATTTCTGCAGTGCATAACCACAGTGCCTCAAGTGAGACTGCCAACTAAGATGAATAAGATACAACAGTTAGATCATCTTCCATTGACATATACACTGCTGATGCTGCAACATAGTACCCTTATCTATGTAGTAAGTATACTGCCAAATCAATTACACAACAGAAATTCCCAGACAACTTCAACTTTTTATCTCTAAATGCAATGTTCATAAGGAATAGGAGGCTGCAGTTTTTTTCATATAGAAAAGATTTCACTAAATTGTCCCTTTAAACACTTAAATAGGGATACATACACCATTAAAAGTTATTGGACTTCTGCATCAGATACATAGAGGATATTCTTTGTTTCTGCATGAATAACAATAATTTCATAGAGTGGGGTGGAAAATTATATGTTTTCTGAATGAAAAGCAAAAGGGATAATTACAAATTTATCATCCCATGAGGTGAAATAGAACGGTGATTCCTCAACAAACAATAAATATTCTATTCTATTTTTTTAGCCTTTCATTGATGCCAGTTTGAGTTTACAACTCTCTCTATATCTGAAATTCTATCACCACTGCTCCACCAGATATACTAGGTATTTATATACAAAATGTAGTTTCACATTTAAGACACATATCAGGTGCAGGTGACCCTATACCTTTTTACATACATTCTAGTAATCGAACCCTGGATGGATAGGTGAAAGGTAACTGTGTTACCACTACACCACCCGACCCAACCACCCTGATGTTTGCAATTCATACTGGAATAATTGATATTTTCACTGCAAACGCCATGATTTGATTGGTAAAAAATTAGCGAAAGTATCAAAACTTTTTGTTTTCATTTATCAAAAGAGACTACTATACTAAAATCAGAGATACTATATGTAACCATGGTAAAATACTAGTCGTGATTCTGTGTATATTGCTCCTGTTCTACATGTGGTAAAATGTATTCTAACATACGCTGTTATCAAGTAAGAATGGCTAAATAAAAAAAAAAAAAATTATATGCAGGAATTATTTGATCGAAAACCAACTCATTCAAACTTTGCTTCATTTGTATCTGAACAGGAAAATTAGTGAAAATCAATGCAGTAGCTATAAAAAACTGTTACATCATCACTGGAAAAGTCATGTGTCAGCAGATGTTAGAAAGAATTAATCTGATGTAACAATACTTACTTGGCCTCAACATTTTTGAAATCACTATTTCAAAAGAATAGATGATTTCATATATGTGAATCAGGAAATATCAGAATTTTGAGCAACTAACTTTTGTCCATTTATCAAAATAAGGAAGTAGTTGTCTGCATAGTTCTTATTGTATAGATTTTATCATACCACAGTATTTCCTGCTCATGTGTAATACAAATGTGTTGTTCACAACATGGCACAAGTGTTCCAACAAACACTTTGAAATTTTCTGTATTCAGCTACAATATATAGAATGCAAAGCAGCATAGTAAAAACTGAATATTTGGAACGCAAATAGAGTATCATTTCAATAATTTTATTTTTTGTATGTGTAATTTTACTTATTGTGTTTTTATTTACATGAATTAGCTTATTTACCAAGTTTGGCATAAGCATTACTATTAATAATAGTTCTGCATTTAAGGACTAATCACTGCTTTGTGTAATCAATTATAGTTACTGAAATATAGGGTCATTTGAAGCAGAACATAAGGTTATTTGAAAAATATTTTTGACATGGTCCAATAACTAATGCATCTTTTTACATTTTTACATAAAAAACTATTAACTTTACTTTCAGGATTTTTGTACAAATCACAAACTTTATCATCTCCATTGTTTATTAATTGCTTATAGTATGGCTATAAAATATAACACAGGTAAATTCATGCTCACATGTGGCATTTGCACTAAATGCTGCCACTGGCTATATACTGAAGCCAGTGGAAAACAATGTTGGTTATATAAATTTTGATTTTCCCACAAAATTGAAGAACAGAAATTAACATTCCCTATGCAATCATATATATTATCACAATGGCTATTTGTTGGTCATGTCAAAAAAAGACCCTATTTTGTTGCGAATCTTAAACAAACTTTATGTCTTTCTATTTCGTAATGACCTTGCATTCGAATAACTAACTGAATAATTAAAGCATTAACTATTCCTCAAATGCATGACTATTACCCCATAAGTGGAACTGTGTCCAACCTGTTTACATGGATGTAACATTAACGTCTCTGTTTACTTCAGCTGTCAACTAAAAAGACCATAGAAAATGAAAGGTTTTGATTATTTCTAGTTGATCAGGCAAAGGGGAATCGTTTTCCAATACTTTCTCCAATAAATGTCTGCTTCTGTCGGTCTGTTCTCTTTACACACATGTAGCATGCACATCCGCTTCCATTACGACACAATGACAACACAGCTCTAACGACAAGTGGTCATATGGTCTAACACTGATCCGCTGTAAATTATAGGCGAACCTTATCCCTGTTGTATCGAAACTTACATTGTCACATTCCCGGCTCCCCTTACGAGTATGGGATCGGGTACCACTAACTCCTGACTATCGCTAGGAGGACCTTCATCGTCATCTTCTTCGTAAATCGTATCGAAGTCAGCCATTGCTTTCTTCTACTACACGTTCTTACTTGTGCTCAAACTCTGTCTACGTCATCAAATCATGTGTTGAATCTTCAAGAAGAAAGTGAAAGTAGGGACAATGATTTTGTTATTAGTACATGCAGGGACGTATAATACAGTATTATACGTCCCTGGTACATGTTGGTAGTTGTATTTAAATACCTGAAAACGTATACGAGTGTTATCGGAAATTTTAAGGAGTTTTTGAGGAAGTTCAAGACCTCAATTCAGCGAGAATTTATCACGCCGTGTAACTTAATTCATTTACAATTTCATAAATCCTGCGTGGATTAAAAGTTTTCCTAACTTTTCTAGTATTATCGTTCAAAATAATCTATTTACAAATACATGTTTTAAGTGAATTTTTGTCGTTATATTTCTGCCTATACATGTCATAAGCACTTAGGAATTTCTGAAATACATGCCCTTCTAGTTAAGTGTGATAGGCTCTGTAGCGTTTTCACTGGTTGCGTCGACTAGAAATCGATTTGTGATGTCACAAATATGAAAAAGTACGCAAAAAAGGCTACCTCAATTTGTTTTTATCATCTACATTTACTTTGAAAAACTTTTTTTAAACTGTCACTTTCCTGAATGATCTGATGAGAAGTAACTAAATTTGTCTATATTTCATAAGAAGTTTTAGATGAAGTTCGCCTCGAAATGACCTTTCGCTATAGGAAACTTCCACGACAATATAATCCTATACAATATATATCTATGGGTTCAATGTGAGACCACGGACTTAAAATAATGCCTTGTTATATCAAATATCAACTGTATAACAGAAATATATCTGTTTTTTTCCAAACCTGAAAAAGCTCGATAATTCCTAAGATATGATTTAATATGATATACCAACTTCTTCATTCCCAACGATGACGAGTATGCGATAAGTCAATAATGAGTTAAATTAGTATTATTGAGTGAAATGAGTGGATACTGAGTAGAATGAGTAAATATTGCATACATAATGAATATTGAGTAAAATGAATCGATATTGAGTAAAGAAGTAAACAATTTATTTTCTTACATAATTAGTAACATCGGGGAAGTATTGAGTAGAATGAGAGTGAAATTGGTATAGGATTAGTAAACAACGAACAAATGTCAGGGAGTAGATATTGGGTAAATAATGATAGAAATCAGTAAATAATTATTACTGTAATAAAATAGGTCATTTCATATAAAATAAGCCAATATAATAAAATCATGACGGAGTTATCTCCCTTGTGTATACGAATGAATCAGTAATTTTTTGTAGAATGGAGACAAAAGGGGACAAAACATGAATGCATAATCATATTTTTCTTAATGTGGAAATCTTTTGTTTTTCATTATATAGTTTAGATATTTTTTATCAATAGTAACTTCAAAATGAAATCTTTATACAGTTATACTTGTCCTGTTTAAATAGTTTCTCAACCATTCACTTCGCACGTGGATGTAACCTTAGTATATACTAGGCGTAACATACGGTTCGGGAGAGCTTCTCTTTAGCTCGATTGGTTGAGGTCCCGGGTTCGAATCCGAATCATTTGGAAATCAATAATTAACCCTGAACATCACACGGTGGCTTTACTTGAAACAATGGTTGGTCACAAGCACCAAATCTGACAGAAAATGCACTGCGAGACTGGGGTTCAAACCCGCACCCTGCGGCTGATATCGTATCAACTGAAATAGCCGGTCGCCGACTATTGACCAAGTCCAGTTCTGCTATACAAACGTACAGCGTCTACCGACCGATAAAGTATTACAAACACAAATTAGACTAATATGAGTATACAGGTTGTAAATGAATGACTTAAGATCAAACTAGTTTGTATAATTACACTACAGTTTTGCTAATTATAATTAGCTTTCTCATTCAATGTCATATCCAAAATTGACGAAAGGAATATAGTAGGTCACATTTTTGTTGAAAGATTAAAAGTTAATGATGTTTACTCAGTGTAACGACACCCGGTGACAGGGTCGGTAACCCGTGACGAAAACAATGGTCGAGATCGACACACATGCTCGCGGTTCACTGCTCACCAAGGAAGCACTGGTCACAGCTTGGTCGTAATGGTGAGGTCAATTACCGTGAAATAGTAGTCGTTGGGAGTGTAAGAAGTGGTCGTAATACGGAATAGTGGGGTGGTCGTAATACTGAAGCGACCAATACAAAGATATATAGTGAAAAACGGGTCTGAAAAAAGTGCCCGTAATAGCGGGTTGGTCGTAATTTTGAGGTGGTCGTTAGGTAAGGTTTCACTGTACAAACAACGCTAACAGTACTTTATAACTCTTTATTTATTCACAAATATAGTATCGTAGATAAATCCCGTATAGATAGCGCTACAAGTAATTATCGTTGTCTAGACACTCATGTGACATTTCCTAAAGATATGCAAAACGATACGTCATCGAATTGTTTTATCAACGTTACTCTCTCCGAGCTTGAAATTTTAACACAGCGAATTTAAAGAGCTCTCGATACCTAGAGACAACAGCAGTGATTGGTCTTTTGTGGAGACGTAATGTAATCCCCTACCTTTGTCCGCTAATCCGTAAATAATCATAAAGAGAAAGAAGACTCCTTTCTTCAAACGGCATTTATTTTCAATAAAGTTAAATAAACAAGTTATCTACTTTCAATTATGGTCACAACTTGGGAGAGTGTACAAGACGATTTGAGACTTCTGAACAAAGTGTCGAAGCAGAATCTATAACGGAGATGAAAAAATACTACAAAGCTTCTTCCTCCTGACTCAAAATTCTTATTAATCTATTTGAATTAATTTACAGCAATATTCAGTTTGATAGGTGTGTATTTTGTTGTTTAATTTTCAAACGATCAGAACGTCAACATTGGAGCTCCCATAGAGTGACGAGCACTGGCGGACTGAAAGGGAAACAGAATTTCACATGTTCAATCCAATTCTAACATTAAGATAATGGGTTATTGCACTACCCTTGTCGTTCTGGTCAGGTGTTCCAAACATGGCGGATACAGTCGTGCCACCGATCTGCGGGTGTGGTGCCAAGGACGGCGGTCTCTTCTGCAAAGATTGTGAATGTTTCATATGTCCAGATTGTTTGGTGGATAAACACAAAAAACATGACTTTGCCAAAATTAATGATGTGGCCAAATCTAAACGTACGCAACTGAACGAAATTGTAGCGGAGGGAAAGGGCTCTTTAGTTTCTCTATTGCAAACAAACCTTGCATTCATACAGGAAAACATCGACCTGGAGGTCAAGAATTATGATATAGTTTTTGGACAAATTTGTAATAGAGCTTCATTTCTGGAGAAGGAGATGGCTAGTTTGAAGGAAAGCTACTCCCAACAATTACGGGAATTTTCAACAGGACGGAAAGATTATCTTCATGGTTTCCAAACTTTATTGTCCGAAGTACTGGAAGGTGTCCTGGAATATCCAGCAGCGGACGATTCCGATCAGAACGAAGATAAAAACGTACGGGTGATTACACTGGAGATGAAACTGCAAAGGGCACTGTCTATGGTTGCACAGGTATCAAAGTGGCCGACATCCCCGTGTGTCGAATTGACGTATCCGGACAGTGATCAGTCGCCTGGTGAAGAATTCTCCGCATTAAAAACATTGTTTGGGACAATCAAACAAATACATCATACAATGAAGGAGAACGTACCTACTGAAACTTTGAACAGCAACGGTAGTTCGTTTTCTGATAGCATTAAGGAAACTCAGGATACATGTGTATCTGTTTTGGAGGTAGAAGGTGCTATCTGCATCGATGAAATGTTTCCGGTTTCATTTTCGAATGAAGTATTTGTAAAGAGTGGGAAATCATTTTACAGGACAAATACAAACAAATGTACGCTGTTTATGTCGGATGTAAAGGATGTTACCATGGCGACAGACGGGACAGTTCTTGTTATCAAGAACGATGACACGTGCATACACCAGGTATGTCCTAATGGGGTTTCCCGGGTTTTCGCGAATATGTGTCCCTGTCAACCTCACCACGTTTTCATTTCCAAGTCAGGGAATGTCCAGGTTGTCATTCAAGAGGTTGGACATCATCCTGTTATTCTCGCCGAGTTCAATAAGTATGGAATAAAGGTTAGTGACGTACACGTTGAAGATATCGACCTTTCTTTTGTCCGCTTCCGGAAAGATATGTTCGGACATTTGTATTACATCAAAATGTCGTATTTCCCATTAATGGAAAGTGTGCACGTGCTAAAGGAAAATAAATCTGACCACGAAAACTACCACATTACGGGGATATTCGGTTATGACCCTTCTGCTGCATGTAGACCCATCGATGCATGTTTTGATGATGAAGACAGGCTTATCATTGTGGACCACAAAAACAATTCTGTCTACCTCCAAGATAAGGAAGGGCGGTTAGAACTGATGTTAGTGGCACCACAACAACATCTCCTGTCGTCACCGAGATCAGTGCTTTTCGTCAGAGATCAGCTGTGGGTTGCATGTGACGATAGAAAAAATTACATATTCAATTATAAACAGCTCGTGACGGATAGTCAGAAAGAGGTAGAGGGATTGATTTCAAAAAGTTGAAGGTGTTCATGTTGTGATAATAATTTTAGTACTTTACTTTCCATGCTCAAGAAATATGAGGATTTGAAATTAGGCCTATTCTCTGGATATAATGCTAAAATCAAACAAATGTTTTCATTGGCGATACAACAAGGAGAGGAACCTCGACATCTTATTTTCGAACCCGTTCTAATTTTAGTATACCGAAATCTTATATCTGCCAGAACGCTGCTTTCAGTCTCCAGGCAACTGCCTAAACACAGAACGGAAAAGGAATGGAATTGAGGTATAGAAACGTTTCATTAGTATATGTAAGATATGTACCCAAACAATTACAATCACTGCTGATTGGAGATTTGAAGCTATTTTTATATCAAAGTTTAGGGGGAGATTAGATATCCTAACGTATAATGAAAAAAAAAATAAATACGTGTACACATGTATCTATAAGACGTTTTTAAAACCACGATTTAAATCTACAGTTGATATTGTCTCTTATCTATAACTTATAACTTCGATACAAATGACATAAATTTAATCTTGATAAAAACCTTCCCGGATTTTTTATTTATACTAACGTGTGAGATACTCTCGGTAGGTGAAAAATAAAACGTTTTATTGCTGTAAAGTGTTTGTAGTTCTTTCCTCTAACCGGTCTTACAGGAATAAAATGTGTCTACGTAATACGCCATTTTACCTATGCTTGTATCTTCGTATGGAGCTCAGCCATGCCTATTTCATCTCCTTGGTCGATTAAAAAATATTCAAAGTCACTAAATATATAATATATACGACATTGACGTGTGTGTGTGGAAGGGGGAGGTAGTTACGATAAGTGTAATGCTGAAGATATTACTTTGAAAACAAAAACGAAATTCGAAACGAATTCGAAAAAACTATGACAAAATAAGAGCAAAAGACAGCCAAGGAGAATAAGAACTGGTGTTCCGAAAGAGTGAACATCTTCTGCTTCATCGACGACATCCGTAAAAGCCCATACAAATTCGAATCAACTACGACATGTTAAAACCATAGGTTGGTGATGGAGGAAAGTTTCTATCTAGAAATGGAAAATTCATCGTAGGGAACCTAGAATTATCACATTTATCATACAGCTTAGTGGAAAGCGGTCTATGTTGGTTTCTCTATAGGAAAAGATCGAGGTAATCGGCTGATATAGAAGTCTGTCGTGTTCATATATGTCTTGTTATACCATCAATATACATGTACAACAGACTTCGCAAGGTTTTTGTGACCTTTTCTGAAAGTGTTTAGATGAATTCCGCCACGTATGAAAACAAAAACAAGTCAGCCAAGAGTGGGACACAGTTATTTCCCAATGGTATGTCATTGGGAAGATCATATTACCAAACTCGACCAAGATATTGTCCATCAGAAATTCAATCATATATTTATAATTTCTCCATTATAGTTTACAAACATCTTTCTTGGAAAAGAAGCTTAAACAATAGAGCGAGAAATACCAAGAAAATGCACGTGTTTAATCCAATGGCTGTTTAATAGATAGGGATTTATAGTTATACCGGTGTATTAAACAAAATGTTCACATTACCTAGCCTCCAACATTATCTAACTGGACAATTACCCCCGTATCGAAAGATCGGGCAAAATTGTGTTTGTGCTGTGTCTGTGGTCAACTTTAACCTTGCCTATAACTACTGCATTGCAAGAGGTAAGGCTTTCATCTTTAGCATGTGTGTTCCTTTCCTGTAGTACGAAAAGTTTTGACCATGCAACCTTGACCATGACCTTTGACCTACATTTTGTAAAACTTAAACACTGACCTTAACTATTGCACAACGAAGACATAAGTGTTTCATGAAGTATGCGTGTAATAAGTAAATATCTTACACAGTACAGTTTTAATGTCTCACTTCAGAATTCTGTTGGGCAAAGCCTTTCATAAACACATCTTCTTCTCTTCTATTTTTGTTGGAGCCGCAGGTGTTGACAATATCCATTGTAATAACTGATAAAAAAAACATCGTGTTTTAACATGTCCGTTTAGGTTGGTCATGCATGCTTGTTCTGTGTGAATCAGGTTCTCTACGGGACACCATGTAATAAGTCCATCAAATATAATCCTGTTTTGTGAGTTTCTATGTAACATAGAAATATACTTTTACTGTCTATTGGATGTGTACCGCTACAAGATGAACACCTTGTCTACTATCTACTGTTCGGACTCAAAATCAAGGAACTTTAAATGCATGAGTGTACATTAATTGAACATTTTTAATAGTTTTTAAGCCCGTCATATGAATGAGGGCCATAACATTTGAATTGCTCTATAAACTTTAAATCTACAGTCTACGAGCAAAACAATTTACATACACAATAGTGTAACTTGATTCAACAGGAAATACCCATTCATACCACCACGTACAGAAATTGAGAATGTAGTCATAAAAATCTCCGTGAGGCATGAATCGTCATTCTTTACACGATTTTATTTTGTGATATTTTCCTGGTAATGAAATATAATTATTGTATACATATTGTTTATCTGATACCCAGTGGCTGTGAACGCAAACCAAGACAACTAAATCCGAACAAGTATTTAACACAAGCTACACGTCATCGTTTCTGATTTACTCGTCATTTCACCTTTATAAGTGATCTGGATAGTTTGGTATAATAAACACTGAATACCCGAGGTTACAGCTTACTCTAACACTACTCATTGTAAATTAAACTCCAATTATTGGTATATATAACATAAGTTCATTAGAAATACAATGTAATTTGAATGATGTGTAACAGTAGTTCATTAGAAATACAATGTAATTTGAATGATGTGTAACAGTTGTTCATTAGAAATACAATGTAATTTGAATGATGTGTAACAGTAGTTCATTAGAAATACAATGTAATTTGAATGGTGTGTAACAGTAGTTCATTAGAAGTACAAAGTAATTTGAATGGTGTGTAACAGTAGTTCATTAGAAATACAATGTACTTTGATTATGATAGCATTGATGTCATTATATGTCAACAAAACTTAATTATATTATTGTAATATTACACATGTACGAATGAATGAATCATTACCGGTTACGTATTACTAATTTCCTTACCAAAAAATGTCATTGCAGATATTGTCGTGTTTTTTTTTTTTTTTTTTTCAAGTTATGAACTCTTTAAAAGAACTGCTGAATATTTAAACAATGAAAAATATAAACTCGTCAGTACGTTTTAGTAGGTGAGATAAAACCATAAGAGTTCATTTCTTACTCCGAGATATTCTAAATCGGAAAATGGCCGACAATCATCAGGTACGTTCTTGCACGGTTACAGACGGTGACCACATACCCGGATCTCGCCTTTTATTTACATTCCATCTGACCGTCATATCTTCGCATGTTTATTTATTTATAACATTAACTCCTCGAGCACTACACAGGACTGTAAACAAGTGCCGATTGCTGTACATATTTTCAATGAAATCGATTTCTTCGATATTTGCACGATTTTCTCGATATCGCCTTTTCATGTAGTTTGCTTTGTTCCATTTTATTTTCTAGATAAGAATACTGTTGTAAATATATTAAGATAAAAGCAAATACAACCCGTGGTATTAACGAACACTTAGGGCACCAACAAATGTTATATACCGGATATAATAACTAGACTTATATCCGTTAAACAAATCAATTTCAAACGGAAATTGCGAGAACAGCTGTATAAAATGTCTGTAGAAATAAATCACATGTTCATATTGTGTGATGAAGACCTTTTAAACTCAAAATAACATTGTTTAAACTTTGCTGGAACGCCATCAGATGACAATGGTCTGTGGATACTTCCGGAAACGGAATCACATCGACTTCCGGTTACACAACTGAACACATTTTCCTCTCCAAGGATACAACGTAGACCAAGAAATGCGAAAATTAATGCTTCCTTAAAACAAATTGTCTCGTCATCAACTTTCTCTACTTCAATTTTTGTCCCACGTAATTTCTCCTTAAATAGATCCATGAGGTACTTGTTGAAGGCTCCCCCTCCGGTAACCAGAACAGGCACAACATCAGACGACAGTTGACATGAGTTTAATACGCATGCGTCCTTTAGCCTCAACGCGACATGCTCAACAAAGGTCCTCATCAGATTGGGAATGGAATATTGCTGTACCTGAAACACACAAATGAGCACGAGTTAATATTTGAAAATATGCATACCTATAAACATCAGATACCTCTTGGCTTGGAGGTATATAACTTAGTGAAGATCTAATAATATAATTATTCCAAACAATTTCGACAATATACAGTTAGAGGTCAATAGGCCCGTGTTGTTCACTAGTGCGGATTGTATAAGACACAAATAGCACATTTATCGGATTATAAAAAAATAATGAACACTACAGTATCATACAGTTGTCTCGTCCTTCTAGAAGCTACCAGACTGTTTAGTAATTCTGCTGTCAAAAAAGGGAATACAAATTCACACAAAATCAAATGACATGCGAGATACACGTATTAGGCCGAAAGTTCCACCAGTACGTAAAGGGCTGCTTATAAGTTACCTTTAATAGACCGTCATGCACGTGTCTACATTGTATATTATGAATTGTTGCCATACATTTCAAAAGAATAAGACAAAATATGGACGGTTTGGCAAACCATGGGGACTGAAAAATAAAGCGGGTAACACATTTCAATACAGAACAAGTATAATAGAAAAATAGAGAGAAGAAGACTCTAAAACATTCCCTTTTCTTGATAAATTAGCCAATCCATTCGCGATACCTTGCCATGGCCGTAATCTTTTATATGGCGTGTGCGGTAAAACTGGTTATGGAGCGACTTTTCAAGAAAAAATGAACTTCGGCGTATCCTGATACTTAGCTAGCTGTCAAGTTACAAATCTTATCTTTGAAAGAACAAAAAAGCTGGAGGTCCTCATGTCCATGCAGTATAGATGAATGACTTTGGAAATAAATCTTAAAATCTTGTTTGAAGTCCCAGCATTTGAAATAATAAACATTAAGTTGAAACTGGAATTAATTCAGTTCAAACGCTTATTGGACAGAAGTTAGTTGTATGATTTGAATAGGTCCCAGAAATCGATCTAGCGTCATTCTTCTGATCCGGGACTTTACAGTACATGTACAATGTAACACACCTCAACTTTTTGTTATAGAGAAGAGGTGTTGACTAAAGGTTTAACGTACTAGTTCATCACAGTGGAGATTACTTATTGAAGTAAATTAATTGTACCTTCATACTAGAATGCTGATGACCAAAGTTCAGTAACCTTAGTCTGTGACCTTGAAAGAAAGGCAGCCAATCAATACAAACAGTTGACTTAGTAACGTAGTTGCCCTTCCGCTACATGTCAAATATTTTTTCGAAGGCATTATTTGATTAAAACATGATTTTTTAAAAATATGTCAACAAATTTATATCCTTTGCTATTGGAAGTAGGTCAAGGTAACGTACCTAAGCAATTTCTCGTCGTCATTTCTCCAGCATGCAACTAAGTTATACATGACGAAATACATTATACAATGATCTCAGCTAGTCAATAAGGTAAATATATAGAAAAGGTAAAAACGTTTTGGACGTTTGTTAACATGTTTATATACATACGTCTAGAATGGGGTCGATGTGATCCTCGATCCACTTTGCACCCAGTGATTTCGGGGGTTCCTTGCTATAGAAGGCAAGCGATTCCAAACGGTCAAGTACTTCTGGAATGACATCGCCTTTAGCCGCTATGTTTCCATCCGTGTCCTGCTGAAGGGAAGGGTCCAGCGCTCCGGCCAGTTTGTTAAGGACAGAGTTACATGGACAGATGTCATACCCTCTCTGACCCTTTAAGCCGATATTGGCGATACCCCCAAGGTTAATGCAGATATCATTTGCACTGAACAAAAATTTCTCTCCGTTTGGGACCAAAGGCGCACCTTGACCTCCAAGAGCCACGTCCTTGTTCCGAAAGTTGCACACAAAAGGACTGTTGAGGTATGAGGCAGTCGTCTCCCCGTCTCCCAGTTGGAACGTGTATCTTAAATGGGGTTGGTGAAATACTGTGTGACCATGGGACGCGACGAAGTCCACGTGCTTATTACTTAAAAACTCTTTGATGGTAGTGCCGATATAGTGCCCATATTCCACGTGCAACTGGATTAGTTCCTCACCAGACAGTTTGGCGGAGTTCCGGAGACGCTCGATGAGTTCTTGGTCATACGGTATAGTGGTAGCCTCCAGGATGTGGTACCCCCATATGTCCGTCTCTATATCTCCCGTGAATTCCACGTGGCACAAGTCCAGTCCATCCAGAGATGATCCCGACATACAACCAAGTCCTGTAAATGACGTCATTATATGACGTAATGTATATGCACGCGTAATTAATCAGAAACGTCAGCAGTGTCACTAGTAGATAGGATCAATGGTTTATCCGGCACAGTAACAATTCAGTCTGTTAATATGGCTGAGAAATATCGATAAAATATATGCCAAGGTCATTTGGACAGTCACGTGACGTGACCAAGATTAGGTTAAAACGTGCGTGATGATACTACGTGAACAATTGAGACACATTCGTTGGCATGGTGTATAACGGTTTAACGAAGAATTTCCAGTTGTATGTCAGATCAATTGCTAAGCGTTAATAGGAAAGATGGCGCTATCGTCAGAGCCATGTGTCGATAACCTCTCCTGACACTAGTGGCCAGTACCGAGTCCTACACAAAGCCGGGGTGAAGATAGGCCACCGGCCTGGTTACACGGCCACCGGGTACGAATACTGGGTACACTGATTCACTGTACACCGTAACCAATTCAACTCACATGTCCATGAAACGAAAGTAGTCGACAACAAATTCAGGAGAAGTGTCACTACAACACGTTTTTGAGTCCAAAAAAGAATAAACACTGAAATGGGATACAAGTAAGACTCTAAACTGTTTTCTGAGTTGTCAGTGCAACAGTACGAACCAAGTCTAATGCACACGTGCAGCAGTGCACTAAAGCTCTAGGAATACTGTGCATGTATTATGTTACACACTATAACTGTAGCCACCAAGTACCAAGTTGTCAGGAAGTCTTTCACTCAAACACTTTTTGTATCCGTGGCTTACTCATCAACATGTAGAAGTACATGTTGCTGATCTGCTATCAGTTCAAGGGCGATAAAACACAAGATAACCTCAATAGGTCATGGATATCGGTGACGAGCTCTTGTATTATACATGTATACACATGTGTACACCGTGTGGCGACTTTTTTTAATAGCGACAGAAACTAGCAAGGTCATAAATTGCTGTTTTGATATGGCATATGTATATATAGACACAAAAAGAATACTGCTTATCAACAGTCACTGATTTGGAAAGAATCATAGTGGGTGTGGCGCCGGCGGAAGCGGATAAGGATAACTGGAGTTGAATACAGGCTAAGTTCAAAGTCAACTTTCACCAGACGTAAACCTTAATAAACAAACGAGTTAACATTCTCGGACCCCATCTCGCTATCTCCGGAGAGAAACTTGTACACAGGATACCTCCACTGGGCTTTGTTTCCAGTCCCAGCATTATACGTGTACTTTTATATTTGTGTAATAATCAACCCAGCGAGACTGGCACAAATAGGTAAAATTAGGTATTCACACCGGACAAAAAAAATCCACAGAAGTTATAGATTCCGATGGTAATCTTACCACAGACTCAGTTAAATAATTATGCGAACATTTCGGGTTTAAACATCAATACCAGTAAAACACAAGTTACTTCGATAGGAAGTAGGACATATAGTGACCAGAATTACCTGTCAGAACTGAATTTACAATAGGGAAGAGAAAAGTTCACTTTTTGCGGGACAGATTTCGGTGTAGATTTAAGTGAATTCCAAAAATGAATTTTGATAAAAAAAAAAATTAAAAGCCCTTATATAAGTATTTGGAATAGACGGAATCTGACTCCAATAGGCAAAATAGATGGTATAAAGTCATTGTTGATTTTACAACTAAAGTATCTGTTTATCTATTTACCAGCCCCTTCAGAAAGATATATCAATCAGTTGAATACACAATTTTAAAAAAAGTAAATATCGTAAGATTAAGAAAAACGTTATGATTCAAAATGATATAGATGGAAATTTAATAATGATAGATGTTCACGCTGTTATAAATTCTATTAAGCTAGGCTGGATAAAAAGAGTAGTACAATCACATGGAAAATGAACGTTAATGCTAAATACAATGGTGGATCTATACAGTTTCTGTTAATTATAATATTTTACTAAGTTTGTATAATCATGCTATTAACATTGGGAAAAAATTAAATAAACAGGAGCGAAATAACGAAATCTAAGTATTGAGTTCCTTAAAACAGCAGGGAAATACGGGACCAATATACTTAGGTATGCTTTTTATATCCGTCTGATAGTGTTAAACGTTGCTCATGAAGATAAAAAGAAGATTTCGGTATCCATGGCAAATATTTACAATCCATGAAGTCTTTATCTACAAATATTCTGTGAAGTGAGAAATTCAGCCACAGGCTTGTAGGTACAATTGATATGTAAACTATTGCTGCAAAATCTCAATGACTCTTATTTCATCGTCCATATGTTACCTGCCGCGGACATTAATTCGTTGCGTCAATGTCAAGGTCGATGACGTCGAGATGCCTATTCTCCGCGTTAATATCATATCCAATGAAAACTCAGTGTCTGGTATATGAAAGGCCGTTCGTGTCACAAACGCGATTAAGCGTATTCGTTAGCATTTAACACAATAGAAGTGTGTTTTACGCGTTAGCTTATCCATGTTTTTTTGGTCATGAATGGCCTTTCATACTCATTATGACTGAACCAGTTTTGGCTGGGCACATTTCATGTTGTGATGAGTTTATAAATAATACAAATGCACAAGGGCTGTAGAATACAAGTAATCGTGTAATCATCGAAACGTCACCCTCTTATATTCTACTGGTTACGTTATAAGAAGTTTCATTCTATTGACATGAACTTAATTTCTATTGACATTACCAGCCTGAAGAAAATGTTCCAAAACGTACGAGAGCTGATTGATAAGCATGAACCCTATATTTAAGTATTTGACTTTTTGGCGGACATATTGCATAGTTTTTTCAACATAATCTCCTTCTGTTTAAGTGACTCAAAGCCACTTTTAAAGACGCCGTTTCGTGACTGCTCAGAAAGTCCTCCCTGCATAGTGGATACCGGAAATGGCCTTTTCCGATTTTGAACGTAGCTGAAAGTGTGATGGAGCGAGATCAGGCGAATAAGGGATGCTCAATTAATTCAAAGCCATAATAATTAATGGCAGCCATGGCAATGACAGACTTGTGAACAAGGGTATTGTCCTGGTGGAACAACACACCTTTACCGAGTTTCCCACGGCGCTTGAGTTTAATATATTCTCTTAACTGCCTAACAAATGATGCATAATATGTGCCATTGATTGTCTGTCCCTTTTGCAGATAATCTACCATCAGAATACTATCAACATCCCAGAAAACCATACATAGAATTTAGAAAAAAATGAAATTCGCCAAATGTGTATTAGTGAACAAGATGCTGCAATCGAAATACTTTGTTAATATTTCCGTTCAAAGAATAGTTAATTTAGTTCTGTTTGGACAAAGTTTTAGATATTTCTTATATGTAAATGAAAAATGAATCTTTTTACCTCTAGGAAATCCTAAACTTTAAATAGGTAGATATGACTATACAAGCTGCATGTACCTTGGTGAATAAATGCTGATCATGCATTTGAATTATAAAAACACAATCAACTCCAATCGGGAAATCAACTTCATATGCAAACTTTCAGATAAACTCAGGAAGAAAATGAAGTGAACCTAAAGGATTATATACAAAATTGTGAATATTAACAATTCTTCAATAAAATGTTTTGGTTTTTTTTTTTTTTTTCACAAAAGGTCAAGTCACATGATACGATTGTGCAGCATCTTTCCTCTGTCCACTTTGCCTCTGCTGTTTTGACATTGCCCAAACTCTGAACGTTGGTGATTATTAATTTATTGTGCTTTGTCTACCATCCTGATATTTGGTATCTCAGATATTTTTATTCAATATCTCATACCTGTACCGCTATTGACATATTCTTTATTTTATACCATATGTATAATTACAATGGTGTTGGTAACACAGCAGAAATCTCATTACACTACATATTACATTATGTATATATTTTGTCTAATTTTCCCCCACATTATGTATATAATGTATACGTTGTTTACATAAAACAACCCTTTGGAGTCAATATAATAATATCTTTTATTTAGTAACAACTGAAACACAGCAGGATAAAAATTAATAAAAGCTAATTAATATAACATAGAATTTTCCATATTCTTACAACAAGATAAAAGATGTTGGACAAGTTTGTCCACATACCAAACTGATGAATCTTCTCACCAACAAGGCCAGAGATAATGTGTAGATGGGCTACTGGTTTCTTAATGAAAGAGGATGAAAAAAAACATGCAGTGTTTTCTTAATGATAAAACCGTGATTATATAATGATAATACTAAATAGGTTTTTTTAATATGATTAAAAAAAAGTGTAAATTATATATACTGGTGGATATTCAATCTCTAGACATAAATAAGGTCTTCCACCATACTACAATCATGTAGATACATGAGGAAAATGATGACTTCAAAGTCCAGAGATTATAACAATCAGATATGTCGAAAGATGATGATATGAAATCCCTACAATTGGTTTTATTCAAAGTCGAAATCAGTTTACACACGACTGCCAAGCTGACCTCTCATTGTTCACAATGAACAAGGAGACACAATTTTATATATAAAAACAACAGCTGGTTGATAATACTACCACTTGTACTAACGAAAGTGGTTCATTATCAATTTCTATTTTGACTTGAGCATAGCAGAAATAAATTATCTGGACGTATCATAAATGAAAAAAAAAACAAAAAAAAAACGAAGGAAAAGTTCAGTCTAATATAGCTTCTACTGCAGAGCATCAAGAGGAGCACAACTGACTAATCTGCATGAGGGAGAAATATCTATGTTTTGTACACTGTTTTCACTCTACTGTACTGCAATAAAATACTGCATTACCAAACATTAACTTGGATATAATCACATACTGCTATATATAGCTCTGAAACATTCATATATAATGCATTGAGCAAACTGGAAACCTGGAATCCCTGTACATGTTCATATGTTTTCACGTAACCCTTTACATAATGACTTATACAGAATATAGCTATATCCTTCCATATAGCAGTTTATAATAACAAAATATAACTTCCTAATCTAAAAATAAACTCCCCATTAGTATTTCATTATTCAAAAAACAAAAAACTATATTCCACCAAATCACAAGAGATTTGAAAATTGTATTTTATGAGAGAAGGATGGACAGATCTTGATTTATCAATAAAATTTATGAAATAGTTCAATATCCTTGGAAACTACTGATCTAGTTATAAAACATACATTCTCAGTAAACTATGGACTACCAAATCTTTTGGACCAATCATTATGTTTTTGTAATAAAATACATTCCCAGTAAATTATGGGTTTCTTAGAAGTCTTTTGGACAAGTCACTGCTTAGTTTTGTACTGTGAGGCTCTCCCTTGTTGTTAATTGTGAACTATAAAGAAGCTGTTTGGAAAAATCGCTGTACATTTACGAAATATAATGTAAGCCCCCTTCCCACTACATTGTGGAGTAGGAAAAACATTTTTGACTAATGGTTGTTAAGTTAAATCCATCCCCTGTGTATACCATCTTTTGGACCAATTGCAAGAGGGCTCCGTATTTATCATAGGTCTCTCTTCAGTGTAGTCTTCACACTCAAGTAGGACATGTTATCATGCTAGAAATAATTCATTCAAAGGGATCAATTTGCTGAAATTAACAAATTAAGCAAATACATGAATCAGCGAAAAAAAAAAAAAAAAAAAATGAATGGATAATAAATTAGTGAGAGTTTCTGAAGATAGCACCT